CGAGGAAGGAGTGGTATCCCTCCTGGATGGAGACCACGTTGCCGAAGTGCTTCTCCAAGAGGGGGGCGAAGTGCTCGATCTGGGCCGCGGTGTTGATGGCGCCGCGCGTGCGTATGGCGAGGAGGCCGTCGGAGTCGATGGTCGCCTGGGTCTCGCGCGCCTCCGCCTGCTTGCCCCACACGGTGGCGTCGAGAGCGGCGAAGGTGATGGTGATGTTGTCTGGCGCTGGGAGCTGTAGGACGCCACCGCCGGCGTACTGCTCGAGGAAGGCACGTGCCTCGCTCTCGCCGCTGAAGGCGACGCAGATGGCGCGCGACGTGCCGATGACGGGCACGCTGATCGCGCTCGCCGGCTGCGCCTCGCAGCCTGGCGTCTTCCTCAGAAGCTGTCGAATCTCGGTGACGAGCGCCGTCGTGTTCTGGATGTCCGGGATGTGCGAGCCGTCGCGCGCCGCGAGCGCGACGTGCAGCAGGCGCTTCGTGCCGCGGTCGGTGCCGGCGGCCGCCGCAGCGGCCATCTGTGCGGCGTCCACCATAATGGTGTCGCCTTCTTTGGCGTCGTCGTCGTTGACGCGCGCGCTCGCGAGCTCGCCGTCGAGGCGGCGCTTCACGCCGAGTCTCTGGCCATCATCGGCCTCTTGCGCGCCGTCGCGGCCGCGCGCCGCGCCCTCGGCAGCGGCAGCGTTGAGCGCCGGCGGCGGCAGGCCGGCCGAAGCGAACGCCATTCAAGTGAAGCGCCGTTCAAGCACCGATGTCTGTGTGGCAATCGAAGCTGCCTTTCTTTTTTGTTAAAATTCTTCCTGTACGCATCGTAAAATTCTTCTGCTCGCCCGTGAACCTGCTAGCGTGGGAGGCGCGGCGAGCGCGTATGTCTGAGTGGCAGCCTGACCAGGCTGGTCTCGCCGAGGTGCTGCAGCTGCTCGCGTCGAGCCAGTCGGCGTCGAACGAGACGCACCGCGCCATTCAGCAGCGCCTCGCCTCCTTCAACGCATGTGTCCCGGACTTCAACAACTACCTTGCGCACATCTTTGCTCACCGCGCCGACCAGCAAGGCGCTGTGCGGCAGGCGAGCCGTCCCACATTTGCAAGCGTCGCCACCGCCTTCGCCACCGCCGTCGCCCCTGCCACCGTCACCTGCCTGCCACCGTTTCCACCGCTCCTGCCCACTGCCCCGCTCTCTCAGATGGCCGGGCTGGTGCTCAAGAACAACGTGCGCGAGCGGTGGGACGAGCTGCACCCGCCCGTGCAGGCTTACGTCCAGCAGGCTGTCCTCTCCTGTATCGGCGCGCCGGAGCCTTTCCTGCGGATGACAGCAGGCGCGCGGCAGTCCACCTCTTTCTTTTGTTGGGGCCGTCTCAGCCTTCTCGCTCTTGCTT